CTACAGAATATTACAGAATATTACCGAATACTACAGAATATTACAGAATACTACAGAATATTACAGAATATTACCGAATACTACAGAATATTACAGAATACTACAGAATATTACAGAATACTAATAATAATAATTGATGGATGTTGTATGGATGGATGGATGGATAGAAGGATGGATGGATGTTGAATGGATGGATGGATGGATAGAAGGATGGATGGATGTTGAATGGATGGATGGATGGATGTTGGATGGATGGATGGATGGATAGAAGGATGGATGGATGAACGATCGATGGATGTTGGTTGGATGGATGGATGGATGGATGGATGGATGATGTTGGTTGGATGGATGGATGTTAGATGGTTGGATGGATGAATGGTTGGATGATGGATGGATGGGTACATGTTGGATGGACACATGTTGGTTGGATGTTGGATGGATGGATGGATGGATGGATGGCTGTTGGTTGGATGTTGGATGGGTGTTGGTTGGATGTTGGATTATTGTTGGATGGATGATGGTTGGATGTTGGATTGATGGATGGATGGATGGATACATGTTGGATGGATGTTGGATGCATGTTGGATGAATGTTGGATGGATGTTGGATGGATGAATGTTGGTTGGATTTTGAATACAGTACATGTTGGATGGATGTTGGTTGAATGAATGTTGGTTGGATTTTGAATACATGTTGGATGGATGTTGGATGGATGAATGTTGGTTGGATTTTGAATACATGTTGGATGGATCCATGGATGGATGGATGTTGGATGAATGGATGTTAGTTGGATGGGTGGATGTTCATTGGATGTTGGATGGATGGATGGATGTTGGATGGATGGATGTTGGATGGGTGGATGTTGGTTGGATTTTGGTTGGATGGATGTTAGATGGTTGGATGGATGGATGTTGGTTGGATGGATGGATGGATGGTTGGATGTTGGTTGGATGGATGGATGTTAGATGGATGAATGTTGGTTGGATGTTGGATGGATGATGTTGGTTGGTTGGATGGATGGTTGGATGTTAGGTGGTTGGATGGATGGATGTTAGATGGATGGATGGATGTTAGATGGTTGGATGGATGGATGTTGGTTGGTTGGATGGATGGTTGGATGTTAGTTGGATGGATGGATGTTGGATGCATGTTGGATGAATGTTGGATGGATGTTGGTTGGATGGATGGATGTTAGATGGTTGGATGGATGGATGTTAGATGGATGGATGGATGTTAGATGGTTGGATGGATGGATGTTGGTTGGATGGATGGATGTTAGATGGATGGATGGATGTTAGATGGTTGGATGGATGGATGTTGGTTGGATGGATGGATGGTTGGATGTTGGTTGGATGTATTTGTTATCTAATGGAAAGTTTTTTCTATAAAAACTTCAAACTAAACTCTCAGATGATTTCTGATGTCAAACAGATTTCCCAGAATGCACCGCTGCAGCTTCTTGTTCTGCTGAATCAAAGCAGGTAAAATAAATCTAAAGTCTTTATTTCAGGACGTTTTGGTTTCGTTTTGTCCCTGAACGCCTCTCGGCTGTTGAAATATTTGTGTAAACGTGAAGCTTGAATTCCGTCCGGACTSCGGATCAGGAAACCTGCGTGGTGTTTGGTGACCGAGCCTCCAGCAGGTTAACACGTATTTATATTTCACACGCCAGCAGCTACCTGAGAGCAGGGCCGGACCCTCGGGGGGCTCCGGTGGTGCACCTGAACACATCGTGCTCAGGCGCAGGCCTGGGTTTCCTGCTTTAACTGCCTCATCGGGGTGTTTGCTTTGAAAAGCAGCGGTGAGGGTGAGAGGCCAAGCTGTCGTTTCTGCGTCTTTCTTGTCTCATTAAAGCAGCAGAGTTTGATGATTTATTCAAAGCGTGAAGCTCCGCTGCAACGCCACTTCTCTGCTCAGCTATTAGTCACACGGCGCTAATGTCACATTACTTTCCTCACCGTTCTGCCTCTGATAAACGACTCCGACAGGCAGTAAAAAATAGATCAAAACCACGGGGATGAGAGCAGGAGGAGGAGGAGCAGAGGGGCAGTTAAATCACCCCCTCCTGCCCTCCACTCGACAGGCTTCAGAAAATGCCACCCATTATTCGTTAGCCGCGGCTAATCAAAGCTCCTCCACCTTAACGAGCCATTATGGTGGAGCGGTRCCGCCCGGCCCGCTGAAATATGGAGCACTTCAGCATCACAGGCCACCGCGCCTATTACACCTTAARCATGTCATTAAGGAGCTGAAGACCGGCAGGCGGACCGGACCTGGGTTAGAGGAGAACTCAAGGTTCTGAGGAACTCCTRTTGGACCCAGAACCTAAAATCTGTTTGTGCTTCAGGGCCTGAAGACCAGAAGAAAACCAGATAAAAAATGTTTGTTTTCTGACTTCACAGGTCCGGTTCAGGTTCTGCTGGGTCTCAGCTGGTTCTGGTCCAGTTTTAAATCTTCACCTTCACTTAGTTTAAACATCAAACGTTTTTCAAACTGAAAC